CTCCGAGACAGCCGCAGGGGCCGGTCCACCGGTTGTGGCGGAACCGCCGGTAGGAACCGGCGATTGGGCCACGTCACGAGCCGGTGCGTTCCGCTTCCTCCTCTCGCGTTGGCCCCTACAGCCCGAGAGACCTTTCCGGCCTAGCAGCTTGTTGCGTCGCAGCGGGCTCCCTGGAGAGCCGCGCACCTAGAACTAGTGGGACACTCCTTCAATTTGGCACCCGGCCCTCTCCTTCCGATCCCTCAAGGAAGGCTATGGTGGCAGCCCCGCCGCAGCCAGCGAAAAGGCGCTCGCTGGCCAATTGGTACTGAACAACCCTAGGTTTGGTTCCACATCAGTGGTTGCGCTCTGCGCTGTCACCCCAAACCCCTTCAGTTTTAGAAGGGAAACTTAAGCCACAGGGAAAAAGAATGTTCGCTGATGGATCGCAGATAAGCAATGCAGGAGTGGCAGAATCCGGCCTGGACTCTGAGCCCCGTTTATATGAGAAAGAAATTTCCAAACTGTAAAGCGTGGCACGCAAACGAAACTTTTACACTATTAGTGAGGATATGTAAGTGGCTAAGCATATATGTATCGCCTTCTCTGCTGTATTTCTGTTCCATTAATCTTGTACATTCTGCCTTCTCTTTAATTGCTTCCGTCGTAGGATTAAAGCATCTCACTCCTTGGCGCTCTCTATTCCTTTCTCCGTTACTGTTTGGTCGTTGGAGATCCAACTTCTCTTAAGAATGGATGTAAATCGGCTGCAGGTTTCCCCCTAAATTGATGCCCAGCCTCCTCAGAAGTCAGCACCCGCGCTTTGTCAAGCCTGAGCTTATCTAAGAAACTCTTCATTCGTTCCTTTGCACTTTTCATGTTCCTTACGTGGAGAGAGAGTAGTTGGCTGTCTATACGTGTTTTTAAGGAAATCTGGCCTATTGTGCTTCCTTTTAAGACTAGTTCAAGGCTGGGAGTGCTTTGTGCTAGAGTGCCTTCTATCGTGAACCTTTGGATTCAACCCCAGCACTGCCAAAAATAATAGTTGTGTTCGGATAATAGAGACATTGATAGAAATAAAGAGAAACTCACTTTAAATGTTAATACAGCTGGGTGTGGTGGTGCATACCTGTGACCCAAGCACTCAGCTTGTTGCAAGTCCAAGGCCGGCCTGAACGTTTGTGATTTCATGCACATATTAAAACTTAACGGATAACACAGATTGTGTTTCTCCGTTTTTTATTTGTTTGTTTTGGTACCAGGGATCGAACTGCGGCGCTTGTGCTTTTGAGGCAGGCCGCAGAACCACGGAGCCATACCCCTGGCCCTCCCCTGTTCTTAGGGGAGCTCCCACCCCCAAAATACCCTTCATGACAGCAGTTTTGCTTCAGTTACAGTTCTCAGCCTGTGTATCTGTCCCCCGGGAGATGCAGCAGGTGCAGGTGCTCTAGGGAATCATCTGTTTTCTCTGATAAGGAAGGAGAATAATATTTCAGAAGAACAAGCAGTGGAACAATGGGAAATTTTCACATGGAGCCCTGATTTAGATTGACCTTATCAAATTAACTGTCAAGAATAACTTGTTAGCTGAGCTTGGTGGCATGCTTGTAATCCCAGCCACTCATGAGGCTGAGACAGGAGGATTGCAAGTTGGGGGCCAGTCTGGGTAACTTAGTAAGACTCTATCTCAAAAAATAAAAAGGGCTAGGGATGTAGCTCAGTGATAAGAGTGCTCTTGGGTTCAATCCCCAGTATCAACCAATCAACAAATAGAGAAAATAACTTGTTAATAACATTCAAAGACTACGTCCTTTCCTAGACACTGCAGAAACCCAAGCAGGGAAAAGCTGCTGTCTTGAAGGACTTTTGCCAAGCTCAGAGAAGAAAAAAATGAGCACAGTGGCAAGGGTATATGTGAACATTATGACCATGTAAATTACATAATAGCTGAAGGCAATACTGATTGGGCATCCTGGGTCCAGAGAAGGGAAAAATATTTTTTTTCCAGATACCAGGGATCGAACTAAGGACCTTGTGCTTGTGAGGCAGGCAAGGTGCCCCTGAGTTAAATGCCCAGGAGCCCCCAATTTTTTTTAAGACAGGATCTTGGTATGTAGACAGGCTTTGATCTCACTATGTAGCCCAGGAAGGCTTTGCACTCTTGGTGATCCTCCTGCCTCAGCCTTCTAAGTGCTGAGGTTACAGGTGTGTACCACGACATGCTCATCTCAAAGAAATTTTTAAAACTGTTTGTCAGCCAAGTATGTGCCAAGGATTACAGGAGTGTCCCACCACGTCCAGCACATACTTTAAATTTTAAAAGAGAAAAAGATTTTGTGACTTTTTATTTGATTTATTGATAACATTTCCTCTGCAGGACTTTTGGTGGTTATATTTATAGAAAAGTACTATAATTCATTTACCAAAATTACTACTTTTGACAATTAGGATTTTTTCTCTTTCTCTTTTTCTTTTTTTTTTGTACTAGGGATCGAACTTGGGTCCTTGGGCTTTCAAGGCAGGCAGCAGCACCACTGAGCTAAATTTCTGGCCCTTTTTTTCATTTTTTGCCATTATGAAACAGCAATAGGCAGGCATAGTGGGACACACTTGTAATCCCAGAAAGAGGATCTCCATCAGTTTGAGGCCAGTCTGGGCTACATAGTGAGATCCTATCTCAAAAACAAACAAAAATTAATAGGCTGGGCATCAAGGTACATACCTGTGATCTCAGCACTCTGGGAGCCTGAGCCTTTAAGACCCTTCTATTGCCAGCAGAAGAACTAAGTTGTTCTACTTTTAGAGTAATGTTTCTAGAATTGCCCCCCCGACTTGTCTCAAAGTGAAAAATTAAAAGAAGGGCTGGGGATGCACTACAGAGCAAAGACCCACAATTCCATCCCCAGTACCAAGAAAAAATAAAAACCACAATGGACATATTTGCAAATAAATCTTTATGCAAACCTATCCTTTATAATCTATTTAGGATAAATTTCTAGAAACTGAGATGCTGGCTTATTCTTTTTTTTTTTTTAACACAAACTCAGGGACTTGCACTTGCCAGGCAGACACTGCACCACTGAGCTACATTCCCAGCCCTAGCTTATTCTTTTTTGTGTGTGTGTGCTTATTCTTGGTTTTAGACATTTGATACATAATGCCTAATTACCTTCTAGAAAAGTTTACTGATAGAGTCTCCCCAACAGCAGTGAATGGCAGCAGCAGCCCCCTACCCTCAAGGTAACTAGAATGTGTGTGTGTGTGTGTGTGTGTGTGTGTGTGTGTGTGTGTTCGCACATGCATGCACATATATGTATAACTGAGGTTAGAAACCAGAGGCAATCTACTGTTGAGCTACATCCATCCTTTTTTTAATTCTTTATTTTGAAATAGGTCTTGGTAAATCATTAAGTTACCCAGGCTGGGCTTGAACTTGCAATCCTCCTGCCTCAGCCTCTCAGAGTACTGGGATTACGGGTATGTCAAACCAGATGTGGCTATTTCTTAGATTCTTGATTCTGAGTTGTGACTTTTTCAATTTCAAAGTACAAGCTTGTGTTGCTTCTTTATTCTTTTTTAATTTTTAAAAATTTTTTGGTACCAGGAATTAAACTCAGGGCTTTGTGCTTGCCAGGCAGGCGCTGCACCACTGGGCTGCATCCCCAGCCCAGCTTCTTTATTTTTAATCCCTTCAGAACTCAAGTTCCCAGTACGCAGAACTTGAGTTTATACATAGTCATGTTTGTGTAGTTCACCTGCTTTACCTTCCCCACTGTACTGAAATCCCTGAAATTTTGTGTTTATTTATTTGTTTGTGGTATTGAGGATTGAACCCAAGGCCTTTGCACTGAGCTATAGCACTAGCCATTTTTTTTACTGGTACATTGTAGATATACATAATGATAATATTCATCATAGAGAATTTGTACCTGTACATGCTGTATCCTGCTTTTTTCCCCTTCCCCTAAGCCCCCTTCAACCTCTTTCCCTCCTTATATATGAGAGCTTTGTTTTCATTTTTCACTTCCAATCTCTTATATTTTCTTGTCCCTCCCTTCCTTCCTTTCTCCCTCCCCCTTCCCTTATGCCCTTTCTAATTTGAACATTTTCTTCCCATTTCCCAATATCCATCATCCATTTTGGTCCTTTTCCACTTTCAGTTTCTCACACTAGAGAAACAATGCATGAGGCCAAGGATTTAGCTCAGTGCCACTGTACCTGCCTTGCAAGCACAAGGTCCCTAGTTCCATCCCTGGTACAAAAAAGAAAAGAAAAGAAACAATGTGGTATTTAAACATGTGTGTCTGACTTATTTCACTTAAGAGTACGCTCTCAAGGTGCCTTGGTTTAGCTAGAAATATCTCAAGCTTATCCCGGGCCAGAGATTTAGCTCAGTGGCACAGTGCCTG